TCCTAGACTCTGCAGTATGGGTCTCTCCCCTTGCCTGATTTTAATTTGTATCTTTTTCTCTTTAATAAAATTATTATTGTAAGTGTAGCACTTTTTTCATTTTTTAAAATATTTTTATTGGGGAATTGGGGGAAGGGAAACAGACAAGTTGCTGTCGTTTTGTTCTTCAGTCTAGTTGTGGAGGACGTTGCTTCACTGGCCCAAGTTGGCACCATCATTGCACTCTTCCCGGGTGAGGCAGATCAGCCACCGGCTTCTGGACGGCCGCTCACGCTGGCTGCTGGCTGCACACGGTAGCCCATGGCAACCCACTGCAGCAGGGGCTGCAGCCTACGCCGTCGCCGGTGACTCACAGCAGCCCAGCTCCAGGTTGAGCTGTTGTTCAGCATCTTAGCTGTGGAGGGCAGTGTCACTGGCCCTCATATGTGGGATCCGAACCGGGGCCCTCTGGCGTCCCAAGCCAGTTCTTCACCATCGCACCACTCTGCCGGCCCAATGTAGCACTTTTCTTAATTGTGGGAGTCATTCTAGTTAATTATTGCACCTAAGCGTGTCATAGGGAACCTGGATTTTGTTGCTTGATCTTCTCAAGTGAGGGTGATCCTGGGGACCCCTGAACTTGCAGCTGTTGTATGAAGTGAGAGCAGATCTATGGGGATTGATTCCTCAGACTTATGACTATTATTAGACAATATGACTAACTCTTGGCATCCATGTTCAGGTCAAAATTCTTACCTACCTTTTCTTAGATTGCCTTTCTTTTGGTTAATTGCACAACTAACTTAAGGATATATTTAGAGACTGAAATCATAACAAAGTACACATACCAAATAAAGAGTTTCTTCTTCATACGCTTTCTTCTTAATCCCCTTTTGTAAATATTTGGTGATATTTATTTCCTACCACTGTATATGTGTGTGGATCTGTCTATATGTGTATTAACAAAAGTATGATTATATATGTATCTCTCTGTAGACCTAAATATATACATATTTTTTTTATTACATGAATGGAATCATATTCCAAAAATATAGCCACCAACTTTAGCCTAAGGTGGTATATTTTGAGCATCCAAAGACCTGTGGCTGCAATTGATATTGAAGAACAAGAACAATATAAAATTGTATCAGTTCGTGGTGATACTTGAAAAAAATAAATTGCGTTTGTCACCATTGGAGATTGGGAGAAAACCAAGTATTTAATTTTGAGAAAGGACGATAGAACATAAGCAAGCATCTGTTCTTCGTGAGGGAGATGGTTGTCTGTAACTTTAAAAAATATATTCTCTATCTCTATAAGTCATCTGAGGAACGTTATGTAAATAGAATCACAGTTTGTAGTCTTGAGACTTAAGTGAAATGGTGGTTGCCAGGGTGGAACGTGAGGGTAGGAAGAATATGGCTGTGGCTGTGAAGGGTACCATGGGAGACACTTGTAGAGGAGGAACTGTTCTGTTTCTTGATAATGGCAATGACCACCTGAATCCATACATGTGATAAAATTGCATAAAGTTAAGTACCCAGACACTCAGACCAATGAGTGCATATCATCTGGGAAATATGAGTAAGGTTTGTATTAATGTCATTTTCTTAGATGTGCTATTGTACTATGGTTATGCGAGATGTTACCATTAGTGGAAGCTAATGTACGTGCATTCTGTCTGCATTATTTCATATACCTGGGTATTATAATCTATGATGATCTAAAATGAAAAGTAAAAAAATATATTCAATGTACAAAAACCTAAGCATCATTGATAAAGTCTAACTGACCAATACACTCATATGTGAACCTTCCTCCTGAAAGAACCAGGGTTGTCAGTGTAATTTGTATCCTCCAGACTGTTTTCAGTGTAGACATAATTTTTTTTTAAAAGATTTTATTGGGGAATTGGGGGGAGGGGAACAGCGTTGGGGAATCAGGGAAGGGGAACAGATAGGTAGACAAGTTGCTATTTTGTTCTTCAGCCTAATTGTGGAGGACGTCGCTTCACTGGCCCATGTTGGGATGATCATTGTGCTCTTCCCGGTTGAGGCAATCGGTCACCGGTCATTGGTCGGCCGCTCACAGCGGCTCCGGGTAGCTCACCCCGGTTACCAGCCGCTCACGCTGGCTGCCAGCCACTCATGTAGCTCACGGCAACCCACTGTAGCCCTGCTGCAGTCTATGCCATCGCCCGGTGACTCACGGCAGCCCAGCTCCAGGTTGAGCTGTTGTGCATCATCTTAGCTGTAGAAGGCGAGCGTCACTGGCCCTCAATGTGGGATCCAAACCGCAGCCCTGCTGCTCAGAGCTGGCACTCCCAAGCGAGCTCTTAACCAGCTGAGCCACTCGGCCGGCCCTAGACATAATTTTTGTTGTTATTTTTAAGAAGACTCATACTGCTAATGTTTATTGTTCTTATTTTGTCCCTTTTAAAGTGTCTTTGCATTTGTTACATGTTAGTACATACCAGTTTCTCTTTCTCTTTTTGACGTGCTGCAGTGTCCTCTCACTGATGTGTGCAATACTTTAGCTATTTTCCTATTGACAAACATTTGGTTAATTTTGTTATTGCAAATCATGCAGCTGTGGATGTCCTTGGTAATGTCTTTTTATGAAGATGTCGCAGTATTTTTGGAGGTTGTGCCCATCTCACATTTATTTTTTATTTTTAAAATAATTTTATTTTCAACTACAGTTGACATACAATATTATGTTAGTGTCCACTGCACAACATAGTGTTCAGACATTTATATAATTTAGGATGTGATCACCCTGATAAACCTAGTTCATCTCACATTTAAATGGATGTGTGTGATTGCCTTCTGGAGTGACTGTTCCGATTTATGAGCATTGTAACCTAATGTTGAAAAATGTTGGCTCTGGAGCCACTTGCTAGCTTTGTGACATTGCACACATCATTTAGCTTTTCTACACCTGAATTTTCTCATCTATAAAATGGAATTATGAGGAATCTACCTCCTAAAGTATTGTGTGGATAAAATGAATTAATCTATATGAGGTGTGACCAAGCAATATGGTGAATGTTTAAGTAAAAAAATTATTACAGGGCCGGCCAAGTGGCGCGATGGTTAAGAGCTGGCTTGGGACGCCAGAGGGCCCTGGTTCGGATCCCACATATGAGGGCCAGTGACACTGCCCTCCACAGCTAAGATGCTGAACAACAGCTCAACCTGGAGCTGGGCTGCTGTGAGTCACCGGCGACGGCGTAGGCTGCAGCCCCTGCTGCAGTGGGTTGCCATGGGCTACCGTATGTAGCCAGCAGCCAGCGTGAGTGGCCAGCAGCCGCAATGAGCGGCTATCCAGAAGCTGGCGACTGATCTGCCTCGCCTGGGAAGAGCGCAGTGATGGTGCCAACTTGGGCCAGTGAAGCAACGTCCTCCACAACTAGACTGAAGAACAAAACGACAGCAACTTGTCTGTTCCCCTTCCCCCAATTCCCCAAAACAATAAAAAAAAGTGATTACAGTAAAAGACACATTGCCATTAATCCCCCTCTAAATATCCCCCCTCACTTTGAACACACTTATCCCATAATTTTTGCCTATTTATGAAGCAGTTCTGGAAGTCCTGTTTCATGAGTATCTTTAGTTGTGCTGTCGTGGCTGCCTCGATGCCCTGAATTGATTCAAAAATTGACCTTTCATGGTCATTTTGATTTTGGAGAAGAGCCAGAAGTTGCACGGTGCCAGATCTGATGAATAAGGTGGATGAGGACACACTGTAATGTTTTTGTTTGACAGAAATTGCCATACCAGAAGCAATGTGTGACACGGAGCCTTTCTGTTGTGATAAAAAACTATGGTGAATGCTGCTGCTGAGTGTCATCCAACGGAAAACCAGGATCTTCAATATGGGAAACGGCACATCAAATCTTAGTAACAGTGTATGACAAGTTTCAACTTTTTCAGTGCAGTCAGTCAGGTTTGAGCTACAGTTGAGAGAAGGTGTATTTTAAAGTGTGCTGTAAATCATCCTGCACTGTGACATGCTCTGTGTCACACATCGCTTCTGGTACAGCAATTTCTGTCAAATAAAAATATTACCATGTGTCCTCATCCACCTTATTCACCAGATCTGGCACCGTGTGACTTCTGGCTCTTCCCCAAAGTCAAAATGATTCATGAGATCGAGGCAGCTATGACAGCGCAACTAAAGACACTCATGAAAGAGGACTTCCAGAACTGCTTCAGAAAGTGGCAAGAATGATGTCATGAGTGTGTTCAAAGCAAGAGGGAGTATTTTGAGGGGGATTAATGGCAATGTGTCTTTTACTGTAATGCATTTTTTGGTCTTGTTTTAAAAATTAATTTCAGGTGTACAAAGCAACGCAATAGTTGCACGTTTAAACATAAAGTGATAACCCACCCCCCAAGGTACTACTCTTCTGACATCTTACATAGCTGTTACAATACCATTGACTATTTTATTTATTTATTTATTTATTTATTTATTTATTTATTT